AGTCGTCGGACGGCGTTCGGCATCCGCACATAATAATTTCTCTCTAAATTGAGGTAAAAGCCCTTTTGCCGCATCTGACTTGGAATCTCAGTTCTTCATTGAGAAATTATAGACCCTTAATTCTATGGTAAGCCCTTTCATTTCCTCTCTTCAAATAATCAAATCTTTGCTTTCACATTGATAATGATTGGTATAAGGTTCTGTTTGGGATAACTTTAGTATTTCTTTGTAAAATAGTTTTCTAGCACAAAAAAATTTAAATTCAAAAAATTTTTGTATTAAAAAGTTATTTTAGAATGCAAGAAGAAAGCAGTCCCAAATACAGCTTAAATCTAATTTAAAATGGATATCATGTGAAGGATTAGTTCTGATTTTATCTTCTGTCATACTTGTGGTTTCAGGTTCTGCTATCACAGGACCCATTGGTAAGGAATGTGCTGATCTGTGGCCAAGGATTGCCAGTGCAGCCAATGCAATCGTCTGACAAACTAAATTTGTCTGTCAGGAATAAATTTTGATCAAAGTTTCTTATTACCTTCGCTGATGTGATGTAGTCAATGACCATTCTGCTTTCATTTGCTTCCAGTTTTGATCATTTTAATTTGCTGAACATCGCCTATATACTGAATTGCTACCTTTGTCATTACTGTGGAACATGAACTAGCTTTGAAGTAAGAAGCTTTGTGGTTTGCATCTTTATATATCTAAACTAATTGATAGGATTTTGGATATGTTTGAGATGTTCTTTTTTTTAATTTTATAATATTTCGATTTGATTACGAATTTTTTGCTGCTTTTCGCAATTTTTATGGAATTAATGGGCTTAATTTAATAGAGTATGGTAGTTATAAGAAAATTATTATTTGATATTTTTTTTTGGAGAATTTATTTCAAGTAGAAATTTTGAGTTGGTTGATTTTAATAATTTCAATTGTTTTTGTATTTAGTATTTTATGTTTGATTTTATTTTTTTCATATTATCTTTTAAATGTTAGAAAAAAATGGTTTCGATTAAAAAATGATTTTAAAATAAGAAATCATATTTTTGTTTGAGTTTATTAAGCTTCAGAATTTTTTTCAAAATTGCCAATTTTGGTAAGGTTAAGGTTTCGTTTGGAAAAAAAAGAAGTTTCGTTTGGAATGAATTTCTTACTGTTTTTTTAAGTAATTTTTAATATTTGCACTAAAAGAATATTTTATGATGCATTAAGAAAGCCCATCTCAAACGAAACCTAAGTTGAATGTTTCCAAATAAAACATTGTTGATAGCATTCTAATGAAACATAGGAAGGTGAAAAATGGATCAAATAACGAAAGAACACGTGAAGAACATTATTTTGTTAGTTTTATCAATCAATTAGGTCGGGCTGTGTTATTGACATCAGCCTCAATTTTATGGGTCGAGCTCAGCGAGAAATTTGTTGGGGTCGTAAAGGGTATTGTGCCAACCTCTGGATTTTTTTTTTTTTTTTATTAAAGCCACGATAGGTGCTCAACGATTGGTCTCATGTTCGGATTTTTTTTTTTTTTTGGGACAGGGAGTATCAGCCTTCGGCCACTAATCTCTCCGGTCGACCTAGCGGACAACCCACCCCATACTCATCCGGGCCAACACTTAAGGCTTTGCACGAATTGCCATGGAATTCGAACTCGGTACCTGACCTAAGACCAACCAGCTCTTCACCATCAAGACAACCCGTGGTGGGTTCAATGCCAGCATTGGCTGCTAACAATTTTCATTTGAAATAATCCCACTAATTAATGCTGGAAATTATTATTTTGGTAATTATAATTTGCTATATTTCAAATATTATACATTTTGTAATTATAAATTAGAAATAATTCCACTAATCGTACAACCTAAACGTGCGCCAGGCCCGCCAGGTCCACCCTCAACTTTGCATTCGTCAAATAATCGCCAAACATAAAAATCGCCGATGAAGCGCAGTATAGAAAGACCTGGTCCATGCAAAAAGTTTTCCGGGCAGCCCGTGGGCTCCACGACTACGAAATCTCCCCGCTATAAGATCAGGGGAGCAAGCAATTTCGCAAGCAGGAGATGAGAGGATTTTAAGGTGAGCAGGAGTGGGGAGATGAGATGTATCGGTTGTGGTTGCTGAGGCTGATGGGGCGTAAACCGGGACAAGATCGTGGGAGAGTTCAAGTTCGGTTGCAGTGGTGAACGCTGTGGAGGAGGAGGGGATTCGTTTGTAAGAAGAATGAAGATTTGAGCCATGGCAAACAGGCACGACTAAAGGCTTTGAGATGGTGGCATGTTGGCGATCTTTGGTAGTGGAGACGATAAGGTGATTTCATTTGAGTTCATTTAACAACAACCTGTTGTCTTCTTCTCCAACAACAACAACAGCTTCTTGTTCTTAGCCTAGCTAGGCCCCTTTATAACTGCATCTCAGCTGTGAAAATCCTTCTCTGCGCGGATCAAGAGAAGAGAACCTTGCCTGGATCGAGAGCCACCACCTGCTGGACCGAGAGCCAACAGGTCTCTTAAAGCCTACCTGAACCGAGAGCGCGCGTCCTAGCTCTCCCGACTGCCTCCTGCAATTAGTCTTCACTCGCGAGCACCCCCTGCGCATCTAACACTCGTGCGACCCGTCTCTGCTCGCGACACCGCCGCCCATGCGATCCGCCAGCGCCTTGCTGACCCGTGTGAGCTTGTCTTGTACTCGGCCTTGACCCATCTGCGTCTCCTTCTGCTAATTATTCTGTGCTGTCCGGAGCTCAGTACTGCGGCTCGGTGCTGCTGAATACCACTGACTTGTGGGTCGGTCTCTGGACAGTATTTTGTGTTCGGTCTCTACACAAACTAATTTATCCAGGAAGTGTCCCTTCTCCAACCTATCCACCACCCCGCATGTTTATCCGGTGTGCTCTGCTCCGACCAAGCACCCGCTCCTGTTCCCACTACAACCCATACACTTCCACCCGTGTCCGATCCTTCGCGCGATCTTCTTACCCATGCTTGCAACCCCGCCTTGTCTTTTGTTTCTTTCTTGATTACAAGAAACATCCTCCTCCTTCCCCAGATCAATCCACCAAACTCTGATACTAATTATTGGAAATTCTTGGAGGAAAATAAGTTTCTTGAATGATTGCACTGCAAGAGAGAGGTAGAAGGGAGAGCACTCTCAGATTTGGGAAGAAATCAAAACTAAATCTTATTTTTGGGTCAAAACTTAATATATTTCTTTCAAAATTGTCAATTTTCATAAGGCTGTTTAATTAATGTTTTCAAAGAAAAGATTGTTGATAGCATTCTCGTGGAACATAGGAAGGTGAAAAATCGATCAAAAAATGAAAGAACGTGGAGAACATCATTTTGTTAGTTTTATGTAGAATCTGCTTGTGCCGATCAATTGGATTGTCTCCTCTGACTAAAATTTCAATTTTATCGATCAGACTCAATAAAGAGCTAGTTGGGGGGCTATAGAGGTAACGTGCCAACCCCTCGAATTTTTTTTTTTTTATTCATACATTGCTGTGATGCTATGAACTTAATGTCAAGATATAATTAAAATATCATTAATATAATTAAATAATTTAAAAAAATATTTAAACTATTCAATATTTATAACCTTTTTATGTAATCAATGTCTAATAAGTTAACTATATTGCATAATAGCTTAATAATACTTGAGATAACATATAACATATAAATTAAAGACATATTAAAAAAATCTCATTCTAATATAAAATATCTAAATATATTATTATACTTTGATAAAAAAAATTAATTTTATTTTCCTACGACATCGCGTGGAAAAAAAAATGCCATCAACGAGTGTGCTCAATGTCAGCATTGGCTGCTAACAAATTTCATTAGAAATAATCCCACTAATTAATGCTGGAAATAATTATTTTGGTAATTATAATTTGCTATATTTGAAATATTATACATTTCGTAATTATAAATTAGAAATAATTCCACTAATCGTATGTGTATAACCTAAACTTGCGTCGTGCCCGCCCCCAACTTTGCTTTTCGTCAAATATGCGCCAAACATAAAAATCGCCAATTACGCGTAGTTAACCCGCGCTTCTCGATCCCAACAATATTAAATCAGTTTTCATTTTCATTGTATGTTTCTCATTTTTTTTTTTGTCAATAGATACTAAAAGTTTTATTCCGTCAAAATTCTAAATATTGGGAGTTCTCACAAATTTTTTTCTTTAAAATATAAAAATAAGTTCTAATTTAAAAATCGCATGGCTGAATCGGGTTGGTTTGTCAGGTTGTAAGAAAAAAAATTATATATAAAATTCACATGTCAAAATTTAATTGGTGTCCAAATGCAAAGCTACGTCTAGACTCCGAACGTAATAATTTCTCCAACAGTTAGAGAAATTATAGGATATGTATTTCAAGCCTACGATAATACAAGTAGTTGAAAATCAAATGTCTAGTTAGTCATGAATTTATCAACCAAAGAGGTAGAATATATAGCTGCTACATGTAAATAAATGAAGGTATATATATGAATGAAAGGGTTTCTTGAAAAGCTTGAGAACATAAAAATAAAATATGTTATCTGGTATGACAGTCAGAGTGTTACTCAGTTGATGAAGAATAAGTATTTCATGAAAGGACAAAGCACATTGATATCATATTGCTTTTTATCAGGGATGTTCTAGGTCAAGGTACTATATGGAAGTTCAAAAAGTTCTTATGAATAAGAATCTAGACGACATGCTCACAAAGATAGTATCAGGAACCAAATTCCAACACTACCCAGTTTTGCTTCAGGTATGTAGGCCTCTTGGTTAAGTAGGCTTTGGGAGAAAGAAATAGCTTGACTTATCTAATAGTTGATTTAAGGTGATGATTGTTAATTAAAATGCTAATTAATTATGTGAGTCAAATATTAGTTGTTAATTAGTTTTATTGGTTTGCACTTATATATATATATATATATATAAAACAAGTTTCTCTCATGTATCCTTTTGTATCGCCATATATATTGCTTGTTTCTTATTTTCTTAGTATATTAGCAGGTGGGTCTTTTTAAAGAGGAGTATTAGGCGAAACAGAAGAGGCGAATCGAGAGAGTAGTGATAGGGAGAGGTGAGCAAAGTGGGAGAAACATGATCGGGAGGAGATCGAGTAGGAGTTTTATTTCTTGGAGAAGAAAATAAGTGGCAAGGTCTTCTTATGATTTCCAATACCCACCCACGCGATACGCCAGTGCCTTACTGACCCGTTTTAGTCTGTCTTACTACAGGCCTGACCCGTCTGCTTCTCCTTCAAGCGCAAGTGTCCCTTCTCCGACCTATCTGCCACCCATATGTCATATCCTGCGTGCTCTACTCTGACTGAACACCCACACTGGTGGTCACATGCCCAGTTCGATTCGTACACTTCCAACCATGTTCGATCCTTCACACAATCTTCATGCCCATTCCTATGACCCCGCCTTATCCTAGCTCTGCTTCTTTCTTGATTACAAGAAAACCCTCCTCCTTCCCCTTGATCACCTCCACCAAGCTCTAATACCAATTATTGTGAATTCTTGGTGAAGATAAGCTTCTTGAATGATTGCACAGTAAGAGAGAGAAAGAAGGGAGAGCACTCCTATATTATGGAAGAAATCATAACTAAATTTTATTTTTGAGTCAAAATTTATTACAACTTGTAAATTTATTTATATATAATATACTAAAACTTTAAAAAAAAAAAGGTACTGTAGCTAATACAAGGTTACACAAG